GGAGGAGGAGGAGGAGGAGGAGGAGGAGGAGGAGGAGGAGGAGAAGGAGGGAGTGGTAGGACGTGACAAGAGGAAGGATGGGGAGGAGGACAGGAGGAGGAAGTGGAGGAGGAGGAGGAGGACGAGGAGGATGACGAGAAGAAAAACAGGACCAGCAGCAGGAGGCGGAGCTGGCAACAGGATCAAGCACATCGGGAGCCCACTTAGCAGAACAGAAGCCCACTTAGCAGGAACACGACTAGGAGAGGAGGAGGTGTTGGGAGGTGCCTGAGGAGCAAAAGGGAATGAGGAGGAGGAGGAGGCGGAGGAGTAGAACGATGCCTGTACCACCGCATATTTGGTCTCCGGGATCCAAGGGCGCCCCGAGCGATGCAACGCGGCATGCCTGCAAAAACATCCCTCCAAGAAACAGTCGGTAGACGTAAGAACTCTCCTGCTAGAAGGTTGTGTCCGAGCTGTGTGGGCCATGCGCACTTGAAACAAGAAATCGCCAGCTTCCCAACTGATGGGAAGGGGGCCCCTCGATGCTACAGCGTCGCACCGAGGCCGGCACAACCAAGGCAAGTCGGCGAGAACGTGGGGAGGAGGAAAACGAGACGACGACGACGAGGACGACAAGCGGACCGGCCGCGAGGCCAGGAAAGGCCAGAAAGACGAGGGACACGAAGAGGAACGACGAGAGGGGGACGTCGGCTCATGAGAGCCCGGAGGCCGCAGAACAGCCACAGGGCACGGAGGAAGAAGCCGCGCGCCAGTAGCCGCGGCCCGCCCACGCGGCGCGCGGCACACGCGACGGCGCGGCCCGTCTCTCCGGCGCGCAGGCACGCGACGGCCTGAAAAGAAAAAGGGTGCACATTTGTGCCGACGGATTTCCGTACAAAGGACCCTGCACACAGGGGGGGAGGAGGAGGGAGGAGAAGGGACGGCAACGGCAGCGCCTGCTGGGGCGCGCGGCAGGACACTTCGCGCCAGCGCGCGGCCTCCGGAGGAGAAAAGACTGCACCGGCAGCTTCGCGCCAGCACGGGTGGACTGGGGTTGGCCTTCGGGTTCGGTGGACTCGGGTTGGCCTGACGGGGCCATCATGAAAATGACGAGACCCAATCTGAAACTTGACGCGAACTCCCGCTAAAAGCATCCCACGAAAATCGGACCGTCAGAATCCAGGACGCGCTCGTCAAAAACTTCGGCAAACCCGAGTTCCGGCTTTCTCGAGTCTTACGTTTCCCCCGGACAGGTTTACTTGCGCCAGGCTACCGAGGGTGCTCTCCAACTTTTCTTGGGATTGAGCGAACCCTTAACACGCCTACAGCCTTTCAACGACTAACTGCCCTTTCTACCAACTTTGCCGCGAGCATTTCACGAAGAGGTCACTGGAGGGGTGGATCCAACGGTTCGGAGGAGGAACGGCACACGCGGCAGCAGCACAGGCCAGTCAGTACTGCCTGTGCCAGCCTTTCGTGACTTTATTTTACTTGCGGAACCACCAATACCAATGACAATTCAAACTACCGTGTAAACTACGTATCTCGAGGCTACCAGATCGATCCAGACATCCCTCACACTTGTACATACTTACGGATCGCTGTTCGAGGAGACGAGCCTCCAGGGCCAATCTCACTGTGGCCTCTCGACAACAGTATATCCCAATATTATATACAGTTGTAGCCACCCCGTGCACTAGAAACTTATGATACAAGGCCGGCCCGTACAAACTTGGCCAGCGTAGCAGATCGAAGCCTCATACCAGCTAGTATACCAAGTGAACATTGTATCAGCCGCGCGTTTCTAGTTCTCACTGATAAGCCAGCCAACATAGCACTGAGCCAGCCTATCGAGACCCAACTTCAGACGGTAACATTATTGAGTCCACGTTGCCACAGCACTTGCTTCGTTGTACTTGAGGGCGGCGGGTGGTCATGCATAGATGGGAGGGTGAGAGGGACACCATACAGTCATACCTTTTGTCGTGCTGTCGAGCTAGCCTGTTTTCCGACCTAGGACACAGGGAACTGAGACGACCACTATTGCAGGGAACACATTGCATGCGAATTTAGTTCTCTCAATAATGCGGCTCATCACTAGTCGGGTTATGGTACTTGCCATTGCTTCGACTCGTTCGATTCGGTTCGGATTCTCTTACTCCTACCGGCACCGCGTGCTTAGCGTACACTCCGAGCCTCTGGGCCTACTTAGTTTTGCTTGTCTCTCTTGTCCTGTCCGTTCAATCTTCTACGCTGGCCTCGCCTAATTTGTTCGCGCTTTGCCTAAGTAAGCTTCGCGCATTTGTTTCACCAGTGGTGCGCTCCAGCTCCGTGGCTGAAGTTCTCACATCGCCTAAAAGAAGAGTCGGAGGGGAGGAGGAGGGAGAGGAGGAGGAGGAGTCTCGACATCTGGTTCTGCCACTGTGGGAACCAGATGATACCGACATGGCCACTCCCAGGACCTCTCTGGGGGTGCATCCTCGCCAGAAGTTCAAGGAGAATCCAACAATGGCGACGAGGGACCCTCCATGACAAGCCGCAGAATCTGCACCCTCTCCTCCCAGGACATCTGGCACTCCTGTGTTTCGATGCGTGGACCCCCCGAGGTCTGGACCTCTTCCCCAGGGCCGGCTTTTCATCCTGACTCGTTTTCTGAAGGCCCTAAGGCCCGTTGAGGGCCCCCAAACTGACCGCTCCCATGTTTCGGAGCCTCGAATCTCTGGATCCACTCTGAGCTCTGGCGATGCGCTCCCGTTAGGTTGCGACATCCGACGCCTACCCCCTCCAACCGTCCGTTCTCCTGAGCCGATCGGAGGGGGGGAATAAAGTTCGGATTTCGCCACGTGTTCCACGAATTCCGAACCCTACTTTGGGTTTCTTAGTAAGCGTGGGGATGGACACCCCCGACGCGGGTCAACCTCGCCTCGTCGTCGCGCCGCGACGGGGGTCGGAGCGCCTTCGGTACGCGGTGGCTGCCCGCAACGGGGGTCGGTGTGGGGCTGTAGGCGGGGGTGACGCCCCCCCGACGCTTATGAAGAAACTCGGAGTACTCCCACCGCCCATCGAATTGCCTGAATCATGGATCGGCGAGAGTCAGGTTCGGATTTCGACGCCGAGGGAAGATAGGGGCAGGAAGGCGGATGGAGAGCAGGTCTGGTACTTCACCGGGGGGACGGCGAGCGCGCGCCCGGGCCTCCCCCCCTCCACCTCCTGCTCCTCCTCCTCTTCCTCCTCCTCCTGCTCCTCCTCCTCCCCTCCACCTCCTCCTCCTTCTCCTCCTCCTCTTCCTCCTTTTCTCCCCCTCCCCCTCCTCCCCCCCCTCCCCCTCCTTCTCATCCTTCTGCTCCTCCTCCTCCTCCTCGTCTAACTCATCTTTATGTGATTCCTTCTCCTCCTCCTCTTCCTGCTCCTCCTCCTCCTCCTCCTCCTCCTCCTCCTCCTCCTCTTCCTCTTCCTCCTCATCATCATCATCACCCCCACCACTCACCATCATCATCGTCATCATCCTCAGCAACAACATTATTGTCATGATCATCATCATCACCATCATCTTCAGCATCAGCATCATCACCATCACCATCAACACCATCATCACCATCAACACCATCATCACCAACACCACCATCAACACCATCATCACCAGCGGCATCATCGTCAGCCTCAGCATCATCAACATCAACATCATCACCATCATCATAATCATTGGCAGCAGCATCACAACCATCACCACCACCATCATCACCGTCGTCGTCACCATCATCATCATCATCATCATCATCATCATCATCATCAGCATCATCATCATCAATATCATCATCAGCATCGTCATCATCATCATCATCATCATCATCATCATCGTCGTCGTCGTCGTCGTCGTCGTCATCGTCGTCATCCTCATCCTCGATCTAATTTCCGTTTCCTTCTGCGTAACTCCTCCATGTCGTATCCCGAGGCCACGCGGAAGGGCGGGCCGGGCGTTTCGCCTGAGACTTCCTTACCACTTATGAGCGTGAAGCTGAGAAACTGGCAGCAGCTTCGCAAATGGAGGGCCGGTGGTTTTCAAAAAGTGGCTCTCGCATTAGCGATGCGCACTTTTGTCTGGAACGCTTGCGAGAGCTTCACGGATGGAGAGCGGATGGTTTGGATCATGTGGCTCTCGTCTCAAAGCGGCGCGCATGCAATGTCAACATCTGCAAGAGATTCACGGACTGAGGGCGGCTCGTTTTCAAAATGTGGCTCTCGCCTGAGCGCCGCGCACATTCGAACCACAAAAGCACAAGCTCTCCACGGATTGAGGGCGGGTCGTTTTCAAAATATGGTTCTCGCCCTATCGCCGTGCACACTCGTTGTAAAAATTTGCACGAGCTTCACGGATTGAGGGCGATTACTTTGCAAAATGTGGTTATCGCCTGAGCGCCGCGCACATTCTTTTCGAAAGAAAAGCAAGAATTTCAATGATTCCCATAGTTCGAGTACCAGAACCGGTATTGCGAAAAGATTCAGGATTGTCAGGGCGCAACAGATTCGTGGAGACGCAACAGTCAGGTTGACCTGCGCGCTCAAGTCCTGAGAATGGTGTTTTGGAAACCGTAAGGATTTTCAAGGATTTTCACACGGTTGTTTCCCAACGGGGTACTTCCATCAGTGGAAATGAAAAGAGCAGGCTTGGAGGGAGGGTATATTCCAACATCGTTGCTGAGTCTTGGATTTATGCTGGTCCTCATCCCAATTCTCATCCTCCTCATCCTCATCCTCCTCATCCTCATCATTGATCATCATGCTCATCATAATCATCATCACCATCATCCTTATCAACCTCCTCATCATCATCATCATCATCATCATCATCATCATCATCATCATCATCATCATCATCATCATCATCATTAGCAACACCATCACCATCATCATCGTCGTCGTCATCATCATCATCATCATCATCCTTGTCCTCCTCCTCCTCTTTCCACGCTTCCTCCTCCTCCTCCTCCTCCACGTCTTCCTTGGGCTCCGACCCATGGCCTCGATCGCTGCGGGCAGCACGGCGCCGTCGCGGACCGTGAGCTCCAGCAGGCGATCGAGCGCCTGCCGTGGCGGCAAGCCGCCCGGCGCGAGCAGCAGCGAGCACTCGGGGTCCTCGGGCGGCCGGGGGAGGGGTCCGATTTCAATCATTGGGAGGAGGAGGAGGAGGAGGCGGAGGAGGAGGAGGAGGAGAAGGAGGAGGAGGAGAAGGAGGAGAAGGAGGAGGAGGAGGAGGCGGAGAAGGACAAGGAGGAGGAGGAGGAGGAGACGGGTGAGGACGGGGAAAAGAACTGAGGGTGAGGCCGAGGAGGAGGAGGAGGAGGACTGAGGAGCGCACTGGACGATTGAGGAGGAGGAGGAGGAGGAGGAGGGGGAGGAGGAGGAGCAGGAGGAGCACTAGGAGCAGGAGGAGGGTTGAGAAGAGGAGGTGGAGGAGGAGGATTGAAGAGGAGTGGGATGACTATCGAGGAGGAGGAGAAGAACCGAGAATGAGAAGGAAGATGGAGGACCGAGAATGAGAAGGAGAAGCAGTGATAATTGAGGGTTGAAGATGCAAAGGAGGATTGATAATGAGGATGAAGGAAGGGGGCTGATGAGGCAGAGGAGGAGAAGGAGGAGGAGGAGGAACACTTTGGAGGAGGAGGAGACGGAGGAGAAGGAGGAAAGGCATCCTCCGATCGGTCCGGTCCGGTGGCATGCGGCCGATCCTGGCAGATTGACGTGTAACGTGGCGGCCCGATATCTCCGACTTTGCGCGGTTATCGATTGGACTAGATCAATGTTGGGCCCGACCCAGGTGTGTGTGCGTATATACATATATATATAACTATATTAAAAAGTATACATGGATGCATGTAAGTATACATATGTACACATCGATATATATATATATATGTGTATATACATATATACATACATAATCATACATACATATATATACATATATATATATATATTCACACGGATATCTATACGATCGGGGCGTCCACCCTCGACAGGGTGCGTCCGAATAGCCTCCCGAGGTATCCAAGAACTCTCCATCTCTCCAGACGGCCTGCTCTGTTTGAGAGAGCTCAAGGATTTGGGGCGAACGGGCGCCTGCGATTCATGATTTCTGCGGCGTGCAACTCACAACTATTAGGCCGAAGGAATGAGCAGTATATCCGGCCTGCTGTGCTCTTCCCACGCTCGTGCGCGCGGGTTCTGCTGGGAAGAGTTTCGCAGCCCCCGCGCGCGTCACGCCTCTCCCCTCTCCCCCCCCCCCGCCCGCTGCTTCGAGCATCCGCTATCCACCTCTTCACCTCCTCCTCTTCCTCCTCTTCCCCTTTTTCTTCCTCCACCTTCTCCTCCTCCTCTTCCTTTTCCTCCTTTTCCTTCTCCGCCTCCTCCTCATCCTCGACTTCCTCATCCTCCTCCGCTCTCCACCTCTTCCCATCCTCCACCTCCTCAGCTTCCTCTATATCCTACTCAATTCGCCCTTCTCCTGCTCCAGAAGAGGAACTTGAAAAGGAAGGTTGGAAGAGGGAACAAGGAGGAGGAGGAGGGCCAATTCGCTGCGGCGCTCCGGTTCGTCGACCACGACGGCTGGATGCCTCGACGACCAAACGCGGTTAGTGAGACCGGCCTCTGGACATGGAACGGGGACGGGCTGCAGAACCAATCGACTACCGAATAATATGGAAACACAATCGGCCACGCGGCCAGGACAGCGAGAGAACCAAGCAAAAACTCAGTTCGAACGTGTCCTCTTCTCTTAGCTCTTCGTGTCCATATGAAAAGAGAGGGACAAGGAGGAGGAGGAAGAGGAGGAGTGGTAGGAGGAAAAGGAGAAACATCTCGTCATCCCGGGCCTGCATCTGGAATGCTCCTCCCCGTTATCCCGTCACCCTCCTGCCTCCTCCCCCCTCTACCTCGTCGCACCACAAGACGTGCTGGTAGAGCGGGACACGCGCTTCGCAAACTACTTTCTCACCCTCAATGAGACATAATTGTGAAACGTCGGCGGCCCGTTGGAAAGATGTGCCCCTCGCATGGCGCTGGGAGTAATCCGAAAAGCTCCCAGCAACTACGCGGATGAAAGGCGGGTCGTTGCCAATAAGTGGCCTTCGCCTTGGCGCCGATCACATTCATCCGAAACATGTCCCGCATTTCCGTGGATAGAGGGCGAGTCGTTGTCAAAATGCGTCTCTCGCAATGGCATGGCACGCGTCCACCAAAACAACATCCCTAGCTTCAAGGGCGCAGGCGCGCACATCCTGGAATCAACCATGTTTTCGGTGTCCTAAGGATTTCGAAACCGAACGTCCCGAAACCATCTTTAAACAAAAAAGAATCCGCAATAAAAATGTTCACACATGACCATGCGTTCGTGCTCCTTCAAAGTCTATGGGAAACCATACGTTTCCCATATGTTCATCAGATGCGACCAAGCGGGCCTGGACCCTGCGCACATGTCGAAATCATTCGAACGCCCTTGCGCGCGTGCTGTCGCAAGCATCCATTGCGAAAGAATGGGACGACGTGCGCACGCGCGCGTCGTCGCGCGCGCATGCCAAAATCCGGAGAACAACCCGCCAGTGCCGCACACATGTTACACCGACTGCCCCGTAAACGTGTGAAAAAACACACGTGGTTCTGAAATGGGGGTTTTGAAAAAAATGCGCTCGCGCTTTTGCGAATTCTATAGAACACCATGTGCTTTCCAGCATATTCACAACATGCTGCCAAGCGTGCCTCTCGCGCGCGCGCGTCAAAATCATTCGAACCACCGGTCAGCGCCACCGCGACCGCGTCGGTCGCGCCAGACTAACCGACTGTTCCGCGCGCAAACATGCGCACGCTGGCGCGGCCGCGGCGATGCACCAGCCAGCGCCAAGCAGCCATCACAATCGCCGCCACATGGGTTTTGAAAGCCACATTGCGGGTAGATGGGTGCGATGTTTTCGCGAGCGCGGGATATGATCATGCGTTAAGAACTCAAACCAAGTTGCACCACAGACAATTTTTTTTATTATTTTTTATTAAAAACAAAAAAAACAGGATCTACAACCCCCCAGGGTTATCCGCTCAGCCTCGCGCGCTTCGATTTACATAGTAAATTTGCCCCCGCCGTTCGTTCCTAACATGAATTCCATCATCCCAGCCGAAGGCGTATAGACCCCCCCCCATCCTCGCCAAATAAAATTATGCGTGCACCTGTTGGTCAGCAGTGAAGAACTGTCAGAAAATGCGTGCAAAAAACAGCACAAAGTCCACACGCGCGCGTCGTCGCGCGCGCATGTCGAAACCCTTCGAAGACGTTTTCTGGTTCCCCGCGGAATCCCAGATCGAACGCCCCTGAAACGCACGCAACAACGGTTTGGTAACATGGTGGATCAAACAAGTATGCGCGCGCGCTCTTGCGAGCTCTTGAAACAATTAACATGTGCGACCAAGCGGGCCTCGAGCCTCTAGCGCGCATGCCAGAATCATTCGAAATCCTGCGCGCGCGGGGAGGGGAGGGGGGCGCGACCCCTGTCAAATAGCACCGCGGTGGCCACTCGCGCGCGTCGGCCGCGCGCGCGCGCCGAAATCCTTCCAAAACCTAAATCGCCGACGCGCGGGCGCCGTCACCGTCGGCGCGGTCAGCGTCGGCGCCGTCGTTGGCCTTGTCGGCGCCATTGTCATCGTCGCCGCGGGCGTCGCCACTCCCATCGCCGCGCGCGCCGCTTTCGACGTCGCCGCGACGCCGCGCCCGCCCGAGCCGCCGACTCGCGCCGAGGCGCCCGCGCGCCAGCGCGCCCGGCCAGACGCGCCCGGGAGCCCCTGGCAGTCAGCGCCATCGCGGCCGCACCTGTCGAGGCAGACAAGCTGACCGCTCTGCGCGCAAGCCTGCGCGCGCTGGCGCGGACGCGGCGACGCGCCTGACAGCGCCGTGAAGTCGTCGCAATCGCTGCCGCTTTGTTTCTGCAAACCGCGCGACGGGCGGGCGGGCGGGGCGAGCGCGCGCGAGGTGGAGTTGACCGCCTCAAGTTCGGCAGGGCTAAATTGCGCCGCGAAGATTCTGTTTGGGATCAAATGGGCCCCGCCCCGGGCGCGCGCGCGCGGGCGCAGTCGGATTCTCCCACCACTCTGGGGATGTTCAATTTACAGTTGACTCTATCTCATCTTCCATCCTAAGTATTAGTTCATCACATCCCAACCCGGCCGGCATCGCTCCCGCCCCAAACTCGCCTGTCACAAAAACAAACACGCGCGCACGCTCGTCTATCGAACATCGTCCATTGTCAAAAATCAAAGGCAACAGAATGACGAAACACACGCGCGCGCGTCGTCGCGCGTGCGCGATGACATTCTTTTGAAACCGCAGGTTTCGAAGGGTCTAGAACTGAGCGTCTCGAAACTGTAAGAACACATGGTTTTGCAGCATCAGTTTCCATCTAAAAAACCTGCGCGCGCTCTTGCGAATTCAAGCACCATGGTTCTTTCGACGCTTTCATCGCGCGCGACCAAGCGGGCCTCTCGCGCGCGCATGTCGAAATCATTCTGGGGGGGGGGGCGCGACCCTTGTCAGATACCATGCGGGCCACTCGCGCCCCTCGGCCGCGCGCGCGTCGAATTCCTTCCAAAATCTCCACCGCCGACGCGCTGGCACCATCGTCGCCATCGGCATCGTCAGCATCGGCGCCGCCCCTTGCCTGCCGCCGCCCACGTCGCTGACGTCGCTAGCACCGCTGCAATCATCGTCGCGCACGCCGTTGTCGACGACGCCGCGATGCCGCGCCCTCCCGAATCACCGACTCGCACTGACGCGCCTGCGAGACGCGCTGAGACGCCCCCAGCGGTCAGCGCCGCCCCGGCCGCGTTGGTCGCGCCAGACTAACCGGCCGCTCTGCGCGCGAGCCTGCGCGCGCTAGCGCGGCCGCTGCAATGCGCCAGGCCGACTCGCGGGCTTTGCAGGCAAAGCTGCGGGCGGGCTGGCGGGGCGATTGCGCGGGCAGCGGGTTTGACGGCGCACTGCGAAACGCAACTATTTGCGCCACAGATAACGCCACGTTGTTCTCCTCTCTAGATAGGGAAAATGGGATCTGCCACCCACCCCCCGGTCTAATCGGTGACCCTTGGGGTTCTACGAT